TTGGGTCGGGTTTTTGGTTGGGAGTTGGAAAGGGTGTCTGGAAACAGCTGGTTTGAAGTAGCAGTGCTCTTTAGAAAAATGCTGTTAAGAGGAACTGCGTCTTACGATGAGATTTGTTGAAGCAGACGACTTGTATATAATTTGAGTATGAAGTATAGGGATAAAATAAGGAGGAGAGCCCTTTCAGGCTCTCCTATACAGATGGGACTGTCATAAATAGAAATACACCATTCATATGGACAAAAGAAGGGTTTGGAGTTTGGATATCGCAGTACAGTTGTCCTGCTTTACAGAATCTCTTGGGAAATAACAACTAAGTACATGGACTGAATCCTCAGGTGTTTGGGGAATTTGTATGTCCCCCCCATTTATGGCTAATAATAAATCAGCCGGATAATTCTGCCTGTTACTTTTGGTAAGAAGTAATTAGGTGCAGTGCTGGTCTGTGTTTCTGACTCGCTTACACTTACAGGAAGTGCATAGTTATCTGAGGACAGAGACTTGAAAAGCATGATGCTGCATACAGCTGTTCATGCTGTGCCTAGAATACAGTGCAGCAGTGGATGCAACTGGTAATTTGGGTTTTCCTCAGAAAGCTGCTTTATTGTGTGATGGAAACAAAACTGTTACATTAGTATTTACTTTAAGATGACAAACTCAGGCCTGGAAAATTCCTTAGAATGGTATGCCTTGTTTCAGCTTAATTGATGGAACAAAATTCCAAACTTTTTTTTTTTTTTTTAAATTATGTTTTAAATTTCCAGGTTGTCAGAGGCATGTAAAGAAACAGAAAAAGCATCACTGTTGTAGAACACTGACACAGAATTGCTTGCTGTGTTAATGTAAAATCTGATAATGTCTTCGACAGAAACAAAGCTTACACAAAATACCTCACCTTCCCAGGTTTTTCAGTTCTTGAATGCAAAATGTGAGTCTGCATTCCTTTCCAAGAGAAACCCCCGCCAGATCAACTGGACTGTTCTGTATAGGCGTAAACACAAGAAGGGACAGTCAGTAAGTATCTACTAACTAATGCTGCTCTAAAGTTTTCCATCAAAAGATTTGGTCTGTTAGAATAGAGGTAACTTGTGCATGCTGGTGTTTAGCAGAACCATGACCCATATAACCAGGATGAAGACTGGTCAATAATGGTAAAAATGTGAGTGCATTTACATGACTTTATATGTTGCTTTCTGTTTGAAAGCTAACCTCAGGTGCACTGCAGTTGCATGGGATTACTACTTTGAGGGCTCACTCAACCACAGTAGTTACAGGTGAGTTTAACCGTTGTATGAATGGCATATGTTTAATAAAACAAGTTTTTCAGAATGTAGGTAATGCTGCTTGAGATGTGGACTAAAAACGTAGGCTTGTAAACTTTCTAAATGGAGATAGGACAGAGAGCTGAAAACCTAGTGCGTCATATTTTCAAACAGATGATTTGGGGGTTAAAGGGTGGGGGAACTCCTTGTCCACCCTTCTTGAAAACTCTGGGCTATACATTAGGAGAAGGTCTTTCCTATGTAGTTGTCATTGCATGAAAAAGATAAATGAGTAAAGCACATAGTGTGAGGTATTTTCAGTGCTTTTGCTTGAACTTGTACGGCAAAAGAGCATTTAGAAAGGTTTACATATGTGTTATAAGTCAGTGTTTTACCTGTTTGTTTTGAGAAGGAACATGGATGCTCTACCCTGCTTGAAGCAGCTGGGAAGTGTCTTCTTTCAGAACATTGTGTCAAAGTAGACTTTATCCCCCCCACATCCTGTTTTTTGGGGTTTTTTTTTCTGGGCGTTACAGAAGGCTGAACTTTCACATTTTTCCAAAATATTTTTTGTTAATACCATGCCAAGGAGAATACATTGTTCTTTCTTTGCTATTAGTCTCCTTTGGAAAATCAATAAATCAGTATCTCCAAAGTGAGGAGTTAAAATTCTACTTCTGCATAGAGTTTTGTAATGGCTTCAATCTTAATGGAATTAGATTAGAAATATGCAATTACCACCATGTATATATACATACCGCTCAATCTTAGCTTGTTTCTATAATTGTCTTTAGCCATTTATTTCATGTCTTGGGATGCTAATTGCCTGTCTTCATCTTCTGCCATTTTAGGAAGAGGTACAGAAGAAGCGCACACGCCGTGCTGTTAAGTTCCAGAGAGCTATCACTGGTGCATCTCTAGCTGAGATCATGGCTAAACGAAACCAGAAGCCCGAAGTACGAAAGGCACAGAGGGAACAAGCTATTAGGTGAGAGATCAGAGATAAATGGAGCCATCGTAGGCTTTTCAAAGTTTATTAATGTTTTTCATACAGGAGCTTAAATCTAGAGGAGCTCTGTGTTTTGTAAGCTTTTTTGCGAGGATTTTGTTTGGATTTGGGTTTTTTAATCAGTGTGTTTGGAGGTAATACTGAGTAATCTCGTCAAGAGTTAGCAGCAACAGAGAAGTGTCTCTTCTTGCCCTCACCCTTTGTGAAAATACTGTTTTTGTTATACACAGTTCTGCAGACTCTGTAGTAGCCTCTGAATGCAGAGGATAAACCTGAAATAATGGGTTCCTTTCTTGAGTTTAGGGAGTTTTTACAGTGGTGAGACGAAGAAATGGTGAATGACAGACCCTAGTAACTGTTGTTCTTTTTCTGTGAATTAACAGGGCTGCAAAAGAAGCCAAGAAAGCTAAACAGGCAACCAAGAAAACGGCTGTTACTGCTGCAAAGGTAAGCTGCTTTAGGTGGATAGAAATAATGAAGCGGAATACACTGCTATAACGTAACATTCTGTGGGTACTTAATTGGAAATTCCTGTTCGTGTTTGGAAGAAGCATTTGTTCATTTATTTTGATCTGGAAGCACCTTGACCAAACTTCATTACACAAGTTAAACATACCCAAACAGCTGCACACAATGAACCTTTTTTTAAAGAAGAAATAAATGTTACAGTAAAACAACTTCTGACCATATGTCACAGATTCTTGATAGCTAAAAACTTGACTGGATGTGACATGTTTGCTGTACAGGAACTTGGTAAAAATATATTGATGAATGCTAGCATCTATTTCCTTAGTTTATTAATTAATACCATTTTTGGCGTTATACATGTTGTAGGTTTACAGCAGTATGTGTGTAACAATCCATTAACATGATTCTAATCTCATAGATGGTAATTCTAACCTAATCCTGATTTAAGTTGCCCAGGTTTTTGTCAATAATATTAAATATACAGGGGCACTTTCAGGACCGCAGATAAATAGCTTTTCTTTGCTTACACTTTATTATTTCTCTACAGGCTCCTACAAAGGCAGCACCTAAGCAGAAGATTGTGAAACCAGTCAAGGTTTCTGCTCCCCGTGTTGGTGGAAAGCGCTAACTTGCCAGGTTGTTAGTCATGCTGAATAAACATGTGACTAAGTTTCATAACTTGTGCCATTTTCTCTTCAGCTGCTTGAGATACATTGAAGAGAATTAATCTATGAAATAACCTCGTCTAGTTTGGCAGACTGAAAAACATCATCTTGCCATAAAACATTTGGTATCTTAGGTAATCTCTATTTGCACACGTTTCCCAAGTTTATTGAGTGAACCTGGGGGCGGATGAAGCGGATGTTGGAGAAGCTGTTTTTGCCTGAAGGACAAAACAGCACAGACTGCCAGGTTCATTCTGCATCTACGTCAAATGGCATAAAGAGAGGTTTCTACGTTTGGAGATGCAAACAAAATAGTGTGTGAAGCATTACTGTCTGTAAATGACTTGAAAAGGTTAATGCAGTTCTGGTGTTGTGGGAGGCATGTAGCAAGGTCTTGTAGAGGATAAAAAGAGAAACAGGTTGAAAAAGGGGAATGGATGGTTTAACAGACTCCATGGTTGTTACATGCAGAGGTTGGGATGTGACTCCTGGGTCAGGAAGTTACAAAACCATGCATTGTTGGGAGTTGTTGGCAAAAAAAGGATGGCTGGGAAGGTCCTGCCTTTCACAGACTGACTTGAACTGAATGAGTTTCTTGACTCAAGCATGGCCATTCTGCAACTTTAATCTTGACACTCAAAACACTGGTAACAGGTTGAATGAGTTTAAAATGCCACTGATGGTACACATTTACTTCAAGCCCACTTAGGTTCATATTTAACTTCCAGAAGGCAGACAGGGGTTGTCTGAGAAATGCCCCACCCTCTCACCCTGCTTCATGTAAAGTATTCATCTGTCTAAAGGTAGACACTGCCCAACGTTTGCTGTAGTTTGGATGGACAGTAGTAGCCTGAGCATTTGTATAAAGCACCTGGTATATTGCATAGATGTATGTGTAAGCTTTCAGCTAAAAAAGTGAGCTTTTGCAAACAGTCTGCTTGGAAATACTATTGAGGCTATACAGGAATTGAGTGTCTGGTATGACTTAAGTAAGTGTTAATGCTATGAAGTTTGCAAGCTTTGGCTGCCTGGTCTTACTGCAAAAGGCACACAGAAATGCTTTAAGATTACTCTTCCTTACTTTTGATTGATGATTTCTGACTGATGCTGTGAGATGGAGTAAAGAACAGCCCATAGTCCTCACAAGCTGTGCTTGCTTCAAATGGGTGAGCAGGCTGTTAGAAGAAGGTGTTAACCTGATATAACTGCAGAATATTCAGCTTAAATATAATGCAGTGAGTTAACACAGAAATTAGTAAAGTCCTTATGCTTTTTAAATGCAATATAATGGGTTTTCTATTAAATATTTACTATTCAAATTGAATACTTAAGATTTTCATAGACCTACAGAATAACTTAGGTTGAAAAGGACCTCAAAAAGTCACCTAGTCCAGTGCCTTCCACGAAGCACATTTAGATCAGGCTGCTGAGGGCTGTGCTCAGCTAAGTCTTGAACATCTCCAAAGACAGGTTCTACAACCTCTTAAAGCAACCTGTTCCAGTATCTGACCACCACCATGGTTTTTAAAACAAATATACAAGTCCTTATATATAACTAGAATTTCCTGTGTTCTAACTTATGCCAGTTGTCTATTGCTATGCAACCCTGAGAGTTCGGCTCCTCTGTATCTTCGTGTGAGGTGGCTGCAGACAGTAGCAATGTCCTGGCAAAGCTTTCCTTTTTTAAGCCCGAAAAAGGCTGTTTCCGCTTTCCCACTTTCCCAGCCCGGCTGTGGCTCCATCCCGGTGTCAGCGTCCCTGTGCCCGGGGGCTGGCAGGGCCCTCCCGCCCCTGTGACGGGCGCAGGGCAC